TTCACGCAAATTCTTCTGCTAGTTGGGGTTTAGTCCACTTTTGTATCCTTCCTTTCAAGGCTCAGGGGTCCAAGATTATCTTCTGTGTCTGTGTTAAATGGTTTCCCTTTTCTTTGTTGAAGAGGGTCTGTGCAGTCCTTCTGCCTAGTTCGCCATCTTGCCGGAACTACAAATCTGGTCTTTTTTATGACTTTGAATTTTGTTCTACATTTTTTCTCCCACTCTGCCCAGTACCTTCTATTGTGATCCTGGTCAGAGTGGTTGGTAGTGGTAGCCAGGTAACATCTGGTTCTTCTGACCTCACGGTAGTGGAAGCTGTAGTTTGTGTGATCCATTAGTCCTCTGGAGTGTTTCCTTGAGTTTTTGATTTTCTTCCCTCTTCTTTGCTCCAGATGGAGGAGACCAATAGTTGCATCTCAGATGTCCATCTGCTAACTTTTAAGACCCCAGTCACTACCCACAAGAGTAGGATGGAGAACACTATCTTTGTAGACTACCTTATGCCAATTGACCTCGATGTTCCCCAAATTATGGTTCTGTATAGGCTTAATTTTTGCTGTTTATTAATAAAGCTATGATTCCAATCCATATAGCCAAATTTGTATGCACATTGCAAAGATAAATCCCTAGAGGTAGACTGTGGGATTTCTGAGATCACATCCCTTATCTTAGGCTTCTGATATACTAAACTACCCTCCAGAAGGCACTGTGATTTATTCTCCATTTAACAATGTACGTATTTTTGTAAAGTCTAGTTCAAACCCAGTGTTATTATTCTAAAACAATTTAACAAGGTGCTGTACAAAATAACATTGTCTTGTTTTTTTTTTACTTTGTCTTCCTTTAATTATTAAGGTTAAGTGTTTTCTTCATGTATTGATTGACCACAGTTCTTTTCTGATTTACCTATTCAAGGCCCTTGCTCAATTTCTTATTACTTTGTAGGAGGTTATCTTTTGGGGAGGGTGGGGGTGGGAGTGGGGAAGAGTATCTTTTTTAATAGATTAAGAATAATCATTTATCTATTAGAAGTGTTATAAATATAATTCACTAACTGAAAATAGCTCAGTCTGTCCCTAGATCTGCTATGACACTGAGTGTGTAATGACATTAGCTTAATATCATCAAGTTGTAGTTGCAAAAGACAAAAGAGGAAAAGAGGAGAAGGAATTTGATGTTATATATTCAGTTTTAGAGATGTACTTGGTGACTTAGAAAAAGATTCACTCTGTTTAAGAGTTCTGAACTCACTAGCAAAGAAAAGACATTAATACTCATTCTGACACAAGAATATATAACGTTTTTGTTACATTATGGCCAATAATTTTTCAGACATCTTAATTCCTCATCATGGTCTAGTAATTACAACACATGTCACCAACACACCACTGCAGCTCATAAATAAGCCCATACATACAATAAACTAGCACAGGGTTTGTCTAAAACAAAGCAATCATTCCAAAGGAATGCAAACTTCAATCAGAGTTTACACTTCCTTTAATGTAAGAATTACATTACCATGTGGATGGAACTTGAACCACGATTCTAGAGCCTTCTAAACTGATTTGGGGAGCATAGGCTTCTTTATTTTCAATCTGTGCTGTGTCAACCACTACCTAAGAGAGAAACAAAAATAACAACCAGATTTGAGAGAGGATAATAGATCACAAACAAATGTAATATGTGAGCCTATCCATGCTGAATAACTAGCAAGAGCTATCCTCCGTCAGTGTAAGTATGCAGATTATGTCAGGCGCCTGGATGAAGACAATGGTACTAAGTAATAATTGTTGTTGTTGTTGTTATGCGCTGTCGAGTCGGACCCGATTCATAGTGACTCCTCCTTGAGTTTGTGAGGCGGTATCACTATGGAAGTAGATTGCCCAACCTTCCTTCCTAGGAGTGGTTGGTGGGTTTGAACTACCAGCCTTCTGGTTAGCAGTCAAGTGCCTTAGGCACTACGCTACCAGAGCTCCTTAAGTAATGATTATAACAAAACTTCCATAAAAACCAAAATCTAGGTGTGAGATTTACTGAATTTTGCAAGCACTTTTTCCAAACTATAAATGTTAATGATGAACTAATTTCTTTATCTTTATTTTTTCTTTCTTTCCTTTATCTTGAAGTATTTTTCACCCTATGCATATACAGAGCTCTGGGGATGCAGTGGTTAAGCACTCAGCAGCCACAGTGTCAACAGTTTGAACCCACCAGCAGCTCCATGGGAGAAAGACGAGCAGTCTGCTTCTGTGAAGATGTACAGCTTTGGAAACCTTATGAAGCAGATCTACTCCATCCTATAAAGCCACTGTGAGTTGGAATCCATGGCAATGGGTTTGGTTTTGCTTTTATGCATATAAAAGTAGTGAAAATGTTACTAAAAATCAAACCAGTGCTTCAGAAACACCATGTGCAAAAGCTGGAGAACTGGATGAAGTTTTTTTTTTTTTTTTTTTTAAAGACTATTTTATTCTCAACCATCAATAAAACCAGAGCTACAAGAGGACAGATAAAGAACCAACTATTCTTTCAGTGATGTCCTCTTATTTGAAATCTTTAATACTACACAGAAGCTATAGTATCCTATGTAATCTACAAAGTTGGGAAAAGCAATGCATATATTTCCAAATCATTAAAAAAATTTTAAGAAAATAATCACAAAACTTTAAAAGTAAATTTGTAATATTTCAGGAAGGGTAAAGCTATGCATGATTCCAAAGTCAGCCTCTAACAGAACACATTTCCACTGCTACAAACACAGAGTTCTCACAGCTAGTTGCAAGTCCTTCAGAAAAGACTTCGTGTCCATTGTTGAAGCAAGCAGGTGTTTCCTCTCTCCTCCCTTCCTCAGAACCATAATCTAAAGGTTCTTTGTCAGTCACACACAAAGGTCCCTGAGATCAAGGGGCAGGGAATTAACAAGCACTTTGCTGACAGAAAAACATGAATTTATTATTTTTTTTTAAACCTGCAATGCTTTTTCAAAAGAACATGTGTCCTTCCACTTTATTTTACACACTCCTGACTAGAGAACTCACTGCAATCATTCTCCTAGTTTCAACTAAATGGTCTTTGGAAATATGGATCAATCTAAAAGCAGTTTACACCTTTCTCTTGAAGGTTCTGATACCAAAAAACCCAAAGATACCACGAGAAACATTTCCTAAGGAAAATGTAACTCACCACGATATAGGTAGGCCTTCATCTAGCCCTTTACATGACAGTGCCACCCTGAGCTGATCCACCTGAGCCCTCACACACATGAAATAAGACAGCATCCTCTCAACAACAATTTACATGAATAAAGTAGAAATTAAACTTATGAAACAGTCCTTGATTTTCTTAATATTTAATTAGCTTCCTCTAACTTATGATCAAAATGCTGTATATTTTCAAAAAGTAGATGTTCAATTGTAGAAAGAACAAGCACATAAGATTATATGGGTCAACAATGCAAAACAAAACACTAAAAATGGTGATTTCAGATGCCGATCTCCCAACCCCACCTAACTTAGGTAAGATTTTTTATTTTCTTTGAAAAGTGCAAAAAACCCAAACCATTATTTTGGTGTTGATGTTGTTATTTCATTGCTTTGAAGGAGATATATAGAGAGTTGAGGTAGAAGGGACTAGACTTTGGATGGGGCACTACTTACACTAGGGTGCTCAGAGGAGGCCTCTCTGAGGTGATACTTGAGCTGACACCAGAAAGATGAGAAACAGTGAGCCATGTGAAGATCAGAGAGAAGGGTTCCCAGGTAAAGGAAAACCAAGTGCAAAGGCCTGAGATAAGAATAAGCTTGGCATGTATGAAGAACAGAAAGATGTCCACTATAGCTACTTGGTAGTCAGGTCAGACTGGGCTCTGTTAGATCACTACTAATGAAATCATGTCCTTAAAATGAAGAAAGTGTATAACATCTTTTCCCAACTACATCTCTGTGGTGCAGTGAATTACTTGGTATGGCTCTTCTAGCCATGGTCTTTGTGATGCCCACCAGATGACTGGGTGGAACTATGCAAATGTGAGGTGATTTGTGGCTACCAAGGGGATTGGATAGCTTGTTAGTAATGTATATAAGGTACATGGCACCCTTGTGGAGATGTGACTGTGGAAATAAAGTATATGGAACACTAATGCGAGGATTCATTAGTTTTGCCATTCTGCTAGGCTTAAAATAAGCCCTCCTAAGAGGCAGAAAGGGGATCTCACTACCATCAAGACAGAGAAGAGCTAGGAGTGGGGCGTGTCCTTTGACCTAAGATCTCTGTACTGAAGTAATGGCAGAGAGACAGCAGCAGCAGAAGCAGCAGAACCAAAAGTTGGGCATGACACAGAGCGGTGGGCTTGCTGGCCTGGCCCACAGCGTAAGAAACCTGAGTGCCTTTGGGCAGGAGACTTGCTGGTGGAGTGGGGTACACCTACTGGCAAAGCTAAAACAGCTTTGTAACCCTTGTGCAAGCAGGGCAGAGGCCAGGCTGAGAGGCTGGCCAAGGGAAGGCTGTCCACATTGAAAGAATTGTATCCTGAGCATCCCTGAACCTGAATTGTGACTTGTCACGTCCCTAATAAACCCCATAATCATGAGTATTGTCTGTGAGTTCTGTGTGGCCACCATAACAATGAATTACTGAACCCAACAGAAGTAGTGAGTGCCATGGGAGGAAAAGGATGGTGTCAGAATTAGTTAAAAAAAAAAAAAAAAGGCTGGAGGGTGGCGGCATGTTTGATTTTTGCCTAATAGGAATCAACCTTGGGCTGATGCTGCTAATGTTCATTCTCTCTCCCCCTCCTAAGGATAGACGAATTCAGAGGATGCTGCCTCAATACCCTATTGGTAGTCCCCTGCAAATATATTTTATCAATCTACAAAAGAGACTAAGAAAAAAAAAAAAGCCTTTTTAATGATACTCTTCTTTTACCTTTTCTTTCTGGTCTAAACTCTGTAGCAGAAAAGGACTTTTAAATTTTTCAGTGTTTCACACATGTGCCTGCACCCACATCTTCACATTCCTGAAAAGTCCCTCTCTACTGTCTTTCTTCATCTGTCACACATTCACTCACCAGTCCAGCCTGGCCAAAGAGCAGCTGCACAGCAGTCTTGCAGGCACCTCGCCATGTTGATGGGCAAACCTGGTTCAGTACTTCAGTCACAGGAAAATCATCCCTTGGGGTGATTCCATTATAGCAGCCTGCTTCCTTGATCAGCTGTAACATCGTATGCTATAGATTGGTAAGAAGAGAGTTCATTATACTGCAAGACTGAAGCCATGCCAGGTTCTGAAATTTGTAGAAATGTGTTTACAGGTACACAATCACTTGAAGAAAAAAGCACTTTGTTTGTATACCCAAATCATGTCATTTTAATTTCTTAAGTAATTATCATCAGTCACTCTCAGGGATTTCCTCAAACCTGTAGAGTGAGTGGCTAGAAATGGGTACATGTACATTAATATACACATTTAATTTCTATACTACCACAAAACAGTATTATTTAACCATTTACTAATGCAAAGTAGTTAAGGAATTCTGAATTCCTCTAAGTAAGGGAACAAACTCATCTGGTAAAAGTGAAGGTGAATCGAAATCTCAACTTTATTTTTTAAATAATTTTTTTAAAATTGTGATTTGGGTAAAAGTTTACAGAGTAAATTCATATTCCATACAACAGTTCATCACATTTTGTTTTATGACACTGATTGTAATCCCCATAATGTAATGTAATGTAATAATGGTTCTCTTCCCAATTCCTCCGTGTGGTTATCTTTTCCCTGTGTCCTTCTTTCCTCTGCATTCTGACCTTCTAATTCTCTATGCAAATACTGCCCTTCTGAACTCTCATGGGTGACTACTCTAAGTAGTATACCTACCTGGTGTAATTGTTACCTTATACCACCTGTCTATTGAGATAAGTTCAATTCTAGGCATAAAGAGCGACTAGGGGCCATGATCTTCTGGGTTTCACCAGTCTCTATCAGACCACTATGGTTGGTCTTTTGTATGATGTTGAGTTTTGTTCCATATTTTTCTCACACTCTATGCCAGATCTCCTATTTTGTTCCCTTTCTGAGTGATAAAACTTCAATTTTATTTTGGATGACCAACTAAGTGGTTAGGTGGTATGCAGGCTTTGGAAACAAAGTACATGAGCTCAATTCAAATTCTACTGTTTTCTAGCTGTATGAGCTGGAGGCCTCCTCACTTTCCCCTATGAGTGAAATGGGGAAAAAGACAGTATCCAACTCACACTTAAGCATTACATGAAACAATGCATATGAGTGCCTGGCACAAGGCCTGGCATACATAAATGTTATTACTGCAGTATTGTGACAAGTTCTCTCCTCTTACTTAATTTGAAAAAGTCCACTAAGAAACATTAATCATAAACAGTATTTCATACAGTACTTTCAAAATCCATTATGTGAAACATTTAAATAGTTACAAATAAAATCAACTTGGCAAATGTCTCATTAAAAAATCTCTACCAGTGTACTTTTAGACACCAGCTTTTTGAACAAGGTCAATGCCTCCTTGCCTTAACCTCATTTTTGTTTTTTAATCTATATTCTTCACAAGTTCACTGTTTCCCTAACAATTCTATTTCCAAAGTTCACATTTGGGTTTTTGGAATCCCAGGGAAAGTTACCGTCTTAAGTTTCAAATTGTTGGCGGCTGACTCATTAAAGGAGACACCTTTCAGGAAGTGCGATCCTATCTGCACAGGGACGGTAGGGAGTTCACACTGCATGGGCTGTGGGGGAGTCTGCCTCCGCCCTGTCTGGTGGGCTTCCACTTCACTGCAGCAGCCCTAGAAAAGGTTTGAATACAACAGCAGCAGTGACCCACAGGTCATCCATCAAAAAAAAAACACTTGGTTCACATAAGGCTGGCAGACCACAGCTCAAGAGAGTTACCAGAAATAAAAGCATACCTGTAAACTTGCTTCAATTGCCTTTGGATTCAGGTGGAAACCAGCTTTCATTGCATATTCACAGTGACCTAAGCTTTCCAGAGCTATCTTATATGCCTGCAAGAAATTGTTTTCAAGAATCAAGATTATATGCAGATTATGACATGACAAAGTCCAATGAAAACAGAAATTTGTAATTTCTACAGTTATTAAAAGATGTCAGGCCTATTACTATTTTATTACCCTTTCCATTTAGTTAAACATTGCAGATATAATGCTGTCCCTCTTTCTATTCCTTGAAATGGAATGTCCTCAAATACTTACTTGCAAAGCACTATCAATTTTTATGTTCAGTTCTTTTAGCTGGTGATCAGGAATCGCTGCACTTTGAGAACAGAAGAGCTGTTGAACTTCAATTCCTGCCAGGCAGCCATCACACCCTCTTTCTCTTAATCTAGATGTTGCCTGTAACATAAATAGTGACGAGTAGGTAAAAGAGGATTCTACAGTTACTAGCAAAAGTTTAAAATAAATACATAAAATAAAGCAAGAAACCATCTAAGCATTAGATATAAACCAAAGGTTTTGGATTGTTTGTATTACAAAATGAGCCAGAAATATTCAACGTCGTATTAACCATTCCAAAGGAAAACCCTATTTTAGAAACCTTAGAAAAAGTATTAACATATTTTTAATTTCCCTACTTTAAAAAGATCACCGAGAATATTGGTTTCCAGATTTTAATATACATAGTTGGGTACTGCTGAACACTGAACTGAAAAGCCACACCAATACAGAACGGGGGGGGGGGGGGGGGAAACTCCATAAAATGGAACATCAAAGGAAAACATTTATATTTCAGTCATGAAATATGTTTGTGAAGAATACATAAACCGAAAAAAAAAAAAAAAACATGGGGAAAGCAATCTGTGTCATCTTATGATGACATGTAAAAATTATACATACATATGGGCCTGGACAAGAAGAGAATACAGAAACAACATATATTTGATTCAGTAGCTGGGTAGAGGGACTCAGGATGAACTGCCTTTCAATTTTTTAATTTCTATTTTTATTGCAATAATATTTGTGCAAAAAATAACATTTTTTAACAGTTAATTTTTGTTCCTCTAGGCCAGTATCTCAGAAGGAAGGTTGGGCAATCCTACTTCCGTAGTGATACTGCCTAGGAAACCCAAGGAGGGGTCGCTATAAGTCGGGCCCGACTCGACGGCAAATAACAACACAACAACAGGCCAGTATCAGAGCTGCAATATTGACCAAAATTGTATGACTACAGGAAAGTAATTAGCTGTCATAATATAGTAATATCCTAAAGCTTTGGTTTCAAAAATTATATGTGAATATAATTGTAACCACTCCCTGAACCTAGCAGTCTCCCAATTTAAAACAGTTTGACTCATTCTAAGAGTCTTTTACTCAAATATTTAGTCTACAGGTGTTGTGTTATGTGCCACCAAATATACACAGTGAAGCACAAAACCTAGTCCCTGCTCTCCTGGAACTGACAGTTTCATGGGGCAAAAAGATAAACAAATAAAGGATAGAATTAAGATTCTAGGAAGATGACTGCATAAACCATTGTTCTGATCCTCCCCCATAAATACAAGGAATGGTGCTCAACTTTGAGGGGATCTGATGTGGGGAGCAGAGGCAGTAGCAGGGACCTGAACAATCAATGAATCAACAATGAGTTGCACAGGGTAGGAAAATCACTTCTCCTATCACCCCTTTTCCTTCCCCCAGCCACACAGGCTGCCAACTCTTGTGAACTGGGGTAATGGCCTCAGAACGAGAGCCTGTTTCCCTAAGATCACACCTTCTGCCTCTACAGAGACAAGACCCCAACCTTCTGCTCTGACATAAACAAGGCAGACCTTCCTGGGGGTCCATTTGTATTGTGCCAGTACCCTCCCCATCAACACTGTCTGCTGCAAGCCTACAGCAATTTGCTACAGAAGACCCTCTGCAGGGGGTCTACCCTTATCAACAGATGACTAAGAGCACTCCACATTAACTTGGGAGCCCCAGTGTGAGATGGTGTCTACACTAAGCACAAAAAAGGGCATGGGTTCTGACCTCCTCTAACTTCACAGAGGAAGACAGAATCACTGTCCGCAGCCTAAGGCTTAGTCCTATGAGGTCAAACATGCCACCACTCTCCAAACCTTTCTACCAATTCTGACACCAACTGTCTCTTCCATGGCAGTCACTACTCCTCTGCTAGGTCTGTAATTAGTCGCAATGGCCACTCACTCTGTTAAGGAAGTAACAGGCTACAGTTCAGGTTTGGGAACGCTCTCAGGATACAATTCTTTGATCAGGACAGTGTCCCCTCTGCTATGCCCTCCGGCACACCTCTCTGGGAGCTGACCTCTTGGCTTGGCCTCTGCCCTGCTTGGCAGGTTATTACAAAGCTCTTTTAGTTCTGCCAACAGGTACACCTACAGGCACCCCACTTCACTAGCAAGCCTCCTGCCCAAAGGCACTCAGCTTTCTTGCTCTGTGGGCAAGGCAAGTCTGTTGCTCTGTTTCATGCCTCTCGGTTCCACTATCACCATCTCTCAGCCAGGTATTTCTGCCAGGGCATCTCTACCAAGGAAGTCCAGCACAGGGATCTCAGGTCCAAGGACACACTTCAACTCCAGCTCTTTTTTTTCTTAATGGCAGTAAGATCCCCCTTTCTGACTTTAGGAAGGCTCATTTTAAGGCTGGCAGAGTAACAAAACTAACCAATCTCCACATTAGAGTTCCATACACCTTAATTGCATGGTCCAACCCAGTAATCTGTTGGGAGTCATAAAGACCATGGCTAGAAAAGCCATACCAAGTAATGCACTGCACTACACTAAGGTCTGAGAGGTTTTAGACTGTTGTTGTTAGGTGCTGTCGAATTGTCTGCAACTCATATTCAAAAAACCTCACTGACGTTGACTCGGATTCAACTCATGGCGACCCCTCCTTGGGTTTCTGAAGCGGTAACACTACAGAAGTAGATTGCTGAATCTTCCTTCCAAGGAGTGGCTGGTGGGTTTGAACCACCAGCCTTCTAGTTAGCAATCAAATGCTTAGGCACTATGCTACCAGAGTTCCAACTCATAGCAACCCTATGTACAGCAGAATGAAACACTGCTCAGTCCTGGGCCAGCCCCATGGTCTTTGCTATACCTGAAGCCCATCATTGTAGCCACTGTGTCAATCTATCTTGTTGGGGGCCTTCCCGAACTTTTTTGTCGACCCTCCACTTTACCAAGCATGATATCCTTCTCCAGGAACTGGTCCCTTCTTACAACCTGACCAAAGTAGGTGAGACAGACATCCCAGGGAGTGAGGGCAGGTCTGTTAACTCACCCTCCCCAGTCAGGGTAAGGCCTGCTGACTGAGACTGCTCTGTACTCAGAAGCAGGCATCTTCAGCGGAGGGTAAACCCACAGCAAATATACTACAGAGAGGGCTCTGACAGCAACACGGTAGACTTCCCCAGTGGTCCACCTGTAGCATGACCGCCCCTGCCCCAACCACTGTCACCTGCAAACTTGTGTGAATTGCTACGTTAAGAGCCCTGCAGTGGCTTTTGTTCCCACAGTCAGCACTCTACCTGCCTACCTGCATACTCCATGGCTCTGACCTCTGAAACCAACAGGACAAACCTCTGCCCCCACTGGCACTAAGGACTACTGACTGAAGTTGCTGACTGTTAGGAAGCAGGAGTCTTGAGTGCAGCCTGCATTCAGAGCCAGCAATCTACTGGGATGACTCTGATAGCAACAAGGCAGAGTTCCATGGGAATCTGACCAGAGCATGACATCCCTTCCCCCACCTGGTAATGGTTGCCAGGTTGTTACAAACTGCTACAGAAGGCCCCCTGCAGTGAAATCTGCTTCCCATAGTCAACACTCTACCTGCTTTCCTGTGCATCCCACAGCTCAAGCCTCCTTGGGTTTCTGAAGGACAGACCTTCCTTGGGATTAGTTTGGGTCTATCTGCTCCCCTTTACAATCAGCACTAAGGACTGCTGACTAAGGCTGCTGTGTGGTAGGAAGCAGGCATCTTGAGTGGAAGCTACACCAACAGTTAACATATTACTGGCCATGCTCTGAAAGATGTAAGGAGGATCTCTCTAGGGGTATGTAGTGTGACTACCAGTCTCCTAATCGATAACAGCTGTCTGATGGACTTATACAAACTACTATAGAAGTTTCCTTCCAGTGGTATACAGGAGGTGGGTCATCTAAGTGGAAACTGCTCCATCAACCACCACAGGGCCACTAGGGCTCTGAAACCAACAAGACATCTTCTGGAGGTCCTTCTGGGGGGTGCTAGCCCCTGCTCTTGAAACGGAGGAAAGTCTGCTGTGCTTTCCTGAATGCCAGCTCAGATAAAAGCAGCCCTGATGCAGCAGGTCCACAAACCTCAGGCAAAACTGGAATGAAATATCCAGGCCTAAATAGGGCTAACTGGGTGTGGGTTTTCTGACTAAAAACATGACTGCAGAAACAGAGAAAGGAAGGGACTAACAACCAGAGAGAAGGGACTGCATTGTAGGTGGATAGATGGATTAGTACATGATATCTTGCCTTAGTGTTGGTCGTGCTGGTGGACAGACTGACAACAGCATGTTCTCTGGTGTGTTTGGGAAAGACTGAAAGTTGAAACTACTATCTGGGACTTTCAATTTCCAATTAAACTGGGGAAGGAGAAAGAGCTATCACAAGGAAGGGCAGAAAATGGTAAGCAAAGGCAGAAGTCTCTACCCACCTAAGAGTTTATGGCAGAAAGCAGTGTAAGCAAAAACACCAAATACTGGGAAAACTGATAAAGTTAAGACCTTCAAGAATTCTAATACCTCAACAAAAAATGAAAAGACACATAAAGAACAGAGAAGCAACGACCCATCCAAATGAACATGACAAAGAGAGTGGAAGTGTATATAGGGATGACCAAATAATAAAAAACATGGGACAAATATAATACAACAACATTGATATATTAAAGAACTAAGAAAAACAGATAAAGAGGTGAAAGAAATAAAGAAAATCAATGCAAGAACAAAGATCTTAAAAAAGAGATATTGCAATTAAAAGGGGCAACTGAAATGAGAAACACAACAGATAGACTTACCAACAGATTAAATTAGGCAGAAAAATAAAATGACCAAAGTAGAGAATAAGATAGTTAAAATTAGAGGTGTTGAAGAGAATGGAGGCTCAAAAAGGCCAAGCACAGTTTAACGGAATTATGGAACAACAAAAAGAAACCTAACATATGCATCATGGGAATTCTGGAAGGAGGTGAGATAGGGCAACAGAAAGAATATTTGAAGGAATGATGACAGAAAAATTTCCCAGTCTAACAAAAGTAATGAATCTACAAATCCAAGAAGCTCCAAAGATGTCAAACAGGATAAAGAAAATCTACACCAAAACACATCACAGTTAGGCTCT